TCATTTATGGACCTTTTGTGGTTTAATTCTTTGTTTTCCCATGTTAATCCTTGACAAGTTGTTGTGTGCACGTTTATGTTTAGAACTTGAAGTATGCCTTTAAGTTGTGGGAGCACCTGTGTTAAGCATAACACTTGTACTAACGAGTGTTAATCTTGACAATGTGAAATATAAGTACATAGACATCAATAGACGAGGGATTGTTGGCTGCTTTATACTGGAACTTAGGGCTGCAAATGGATCGAATCGCTCATGAGTCAATTCAAGTCAAGCTCGAACTGGACTCGACCTTGAACTCGAGTTCAAAATATTAACCTCGTTAACTTGCGAGTTCGAGTATAAATATATATTTTTTAATAGTATATATATATTTTTATTTTTATTTTTTATTTTAATAGTAAAATTACATATATTTCTTTAATATTTTATTATTTATTAAGAAAAATATTATTTTATTTATTTATTTTAAAATAAAATAATTATTTTTTATTCGAGCCGAGCTTGAGCTCGAGCTTTAAATTGTCAGCTTGTCGAGCTTGAGTTTGAGTTCGAGTTCAATAAAAATAAGTTAAGGCTCGGCTCGATTATGCCAAAATTTGATTCGACTCGGCTCGTTTGCAGCCCTACTGGAACTAATGGAATTATTTGACTATTTTGTTTCACAAGCTAAATTTCTTTTTTGGATCCGTAAGTTATATATACTTTTATAGTGATGGTTCTTGCTGCAATGCAATGCTAAGCTAATGGTCTTTCGGTAGTGATTGTTCATTAGTTAGTCTTTGATATTGTATATATGTGCTTCTCGAGTCGCAATTCTTTCGGTATGATTTTCAGTGTTCAATTGAATGTGGTATGCAGGAGCAAGACATTTAACTGCTGATTTTAGTTAATTGTGTTCGATCAGTTCATTCATTGTTGCTTTATTATTACCATAAAATGGCGATTAGAATTGTTTTTTTTTTTTGGTTACAGATGTTTCTTTCTTCACGATAAACTAGACAGCTTCTTTGAAATGAGCAAGTTAATCGATTCAGGTTCTTTTTTTAACTATTAAGTGCTGATGATGTGATCCAAGGACTTGTACATTGTGAAAAGTACTCGAGGATTATGGCTGATAACATGCATGCAATAGCATACATTTTGAACGATTGAGGCCAACCTTTTCTTCTTGAAGGCGTGATAGTCACCCTTGTAGAAGTTAAGTCAATGATTCCAGTTCATTCTTATTGCAGGACCAGCAGAAGTTCTATGTGTAGTTTACGTGGCTTCTATTTCTCAAACCACAAAGAGCTCTAGGATGTATTCCATGGCTAGCCATGTGTTTGTTGGCAAAGTTTGTATTAGTCAAGAAACATCTTACCATTCTGATGCAACAGATGAAGATTACAATCACAAAGGGAGGTTGTATAAGTTTTTAAAGGCCTTTCTTGCTATTTCACTGCTGGCTTTGGTCATTGAAATCGTTGCTTACTCCAAAAATTGGATTGGAGTTTGGTTCTTCCTTATGGTGTTGTACAATGGCCTTATATGGGCTGGTTGTCCTCAAGGGTTGATTACCCTGCTGCTCCCTTGCTGTTAGTGCTTTCCAAGTTTTGCATTGTACCTTCAAGATTGAGTCATTGGATCAATTGGTGCTTTGTCTTAAATGCTTCTGGATTAAGGTCAAGAAGCTGATGCTAATAGTACGAGAAGCATATGATATTAAGGATGACTCTAGTTTTCCAATGGATCTTGCATGGAATCCATGTGCAATGGTAAAAGGAACAACCTTAAATCGGGATTAACCAGCTGCAGTAAAGCCTTTGAAAGGTATGAGAACTGCCAAATGAATGATTGGCCAGTTCAATCTGATGTTTTCTTCTTGGCGTATGAAAATGTGCTGCCACAGAAGCTTATTTTGCATTCTTCTTTCTGCAACATGATCTTTTTTTAGTTACTAATTATTAAAACAAAACCTTGTAGTGTGTGACTAGTGAACTACCTTTGTGTAACGGGCTCTATATCCTATCTAATGCCTTTTTCTTTTATTTTTTTTTCTTTTCCTTAAGTTTACCATTTATGCATTGGAAGTTGAATCACCCACTTCTGAGTATTTATGAATGTTATGTTATGACAAGTGGGAAAATTCATACTTTTCATGATTTAGTCTTAGTGATTATTTTGCACGCATTTCTTCTTCTTTTTTTTTAAACCATTTTTAGTTATTAAACAGTTTTTTTGGCCCTTGACAATTAGCATGAGAAGTATATTGATGAAAAAAAAGAAAAGAAAAGAGGGTTACCCAAACAACACCAAAAAAAAAGACGAGAGAAAAATATACGACAAACTTTCTAGTAAGTAATATGTAGTCTAGCAAAGCTTTTTTAGAATCGCAAATACAAGATCATCCAATTTTGATGGAAATGAATGTATGGTTATAATGGGTTGAAAAATAAAAAAAAATTCAAAAATGGTTATAGTGGATAGAATGTAAAAGCGATTGATAAAGAGAGCAATGTTTGAAGGTAGGACAACATCAAAAAATTAATTTGGAAAATATTTTCACTATACTACCCAAACACCTAAAAATTATGAAGAAGGAAATGATTTTCCAGGAAAATATCTTCTGTGGGAAATATTTTCTTAAAGAAAACATTTTACATCCAACCAACGAACCCTAAAAGCACTTCTTCGAATAAAAGATATTAGATCCAATCTGCTAAAATTATACAGCCCAAAAAGCATTTATTCAACTACGATCTTATTCTAGTACATTTCAAGTAACATATCCTAACTTTACTGTTAACCGCACATTACTTAGAAACATTATTATTTGGTAGTTAAGTTTGACCAAATACAATAAATAACATAAAGATATAGATTAAAGCATATCATCCCCACTCTAATAATTGGAAACTGGTTACCCCGAGTTTTGTACAAGTAGTCTATGTCAATGGGGTTGGGCTAGCTCGAATTCAGTTCATTTGGTTCCAAAAAAACTTATTGAACCTAAGTTTTAGTTGGATTGAGCAGAAATTGGACCTAATATTAGGTACGAACTCAATGTGAGTCGAGTTTGGGTCATACTAGGTTCAAGTCCAATTAAAAACCGTTCCATATATGAGTATAATTATATATGTAACATGTATATAATAATATCTAATTTATAATTATCTAGACTATATATAAAAGGAAAGGAGAGGGTTTTGAGGAAATAAAAATCTATCACTTTATATACTTCCTAAACTACCCTTAATGATGAGGGAACTTTTGGTATAAACAAAAATCTATCTATCTTTGATAACTATCACTACCAATATGATTTTTTACCAAGTAATTATATTTTTTAACTTATTTAGTAAATCTTAATTTTAATTAGCAACTACCTATTATGGTTATGAATAACTACCAAATAACTGCTTTTTATAACTTTTATTTTGGTGATTTTTTTTACATATGTATTTTCAAAATATAAAACCAATTTTCTTGAAAATGATTTTAACAAATATACTCAAAATATTTTACAAATATTTTTTCTATTAGTTTGTGTATGCCTTGAATACTACTACATATTATGACATAAATTGTTAATAATTTATATGTAAATTTGTATTAATTCATAATTATAAAATATATATTTTATATAATTATGTAATGAATTATAAGTTTGGGTCAAGCTCGAATTGAGCCCGAAACTCATATAATAATGTGAGTTATTTAAACCTTTTTAATATGAGGTTAAAACCCAAAAGTCCATATAATTTGTGAGTCGAGTTTGGATTTGCTAAAACCTAGTTCAAAAAGCTCGATTGACACTCCTCGTGTATGCACATAACTTGATAAATATGTAAAATTTCGTAAAAAATATATACACAAACTTACTTACAAGTCATCAAAATATGTTCGAGAATATAGTAAAACAATCTATCAAAACCCTCTATTTCCAAAACCAAGTTTCATCCTTGAAAATCCTTTTTGTTTAATCAAAACATCTTCCAAACATCTATTCCTATCACAACCATTATCACGGCGGCGAGGAGATAGTGGCTGCAAGGAGACGGTCACAGGCTCACAGCCATGAAAACCGTTTAAAATCTCACCCTACATTCATTCATGTAACTTCGTGCTAAACATGCATAAAGTGTTCTTATGACAAGATCATAGAATTCTAGGGTTTTCTATCAATAATCTTCATGTAAAAAGCTTAGAACCATAGATTTTTAATCTTGTTTGGATGGTTCTTTTCCCCTCTTTTCTCCTCCTCCATCATCTGAACACCCTTCATGCCTGTCGTACCTCTCTCTTTCTAATCACCCTTCATGGCTGCCGTTCCTCTCTCTCCTTGTGTTGCACCTTGTGTTGCACTAAGTTTCAAAGACAAAACTGTTAGCATTTGGACATAGCAAAGTTTGGGCTCAATGCTTTGTTAAGCTCCTCTGTTTTTTTTGTCAAAATCATAAAATAATATTTAGGTTAAGGAAACGACTTAGGAGTGCGTTTAATAAAATTAAAATTTGAAGTCTAAATCTAATAAATTAGTGAATTGTTAAGTACTAAATCTAATACATTTGAATGTATTATCACATTAAATAATAAGTGAATAATTTATTACTTATTTTTATAATAAGTTTTGTTTAAAAAATTCAGTACCACTTAATTAATTTAAATGCTCTATTTTTTATTATCAAATGGATATCAAACAGGGCCTCAGATCAGTTCATGAATTCTGAGTAGACAAGAAACTTGAGCAAACAATTCCATCCTTTGATTCAAATTACTGCCACAAACTCCCAGTAGGAAGTAACAATTTCCTACTTCTGCCACGTACATGAAAACTTACCTTGAAATGATCTGATAGTCAACTAGATTTATAACTGATTTTTCACTCTTGAAGTATGAAAGACACGTCCACAATTTGTTTCGTTGACATTTCTTGTTTTTCTTTTTCTTTTTTCATCTTCCTGCTGGCATCAATCCAAATTGAGCATAGGATACTATCCTTTTGAAAACAACAAAATGAAGCCACAAATTTCATTTACATTTAATTATATGGAATTCATTTACATTTGATTTTATGGAAAATCGAACTTTCACAAAAGATGGAATTTGAAATTCAGCGACGCTTCATTTGAAACAGCAACATGTTAAATTCAAATTAGTCTGAAGTATATAAATAAACCACCAAACACTCATCTCAATCTCAAAGCAAGTAAAAAAACAAAAGCTGAACTACAATCTTTTCAAATTTTGCTTTTAAGTTTTAGCATGTTGAAGAATTTCCACCACCAGAAGTTCCGGAAGTCTCACCAGTATCCTTTATCCTCAAAACTTCATCTATGGTTTTCCCCCTGTCGATCGAGTTGTCTACAGCTCTACTTAATCTCTTCAGCCAAGTATCATAATCAACTGGATATGGTGTTCCACAAAGGCTGTCTACATAATCAGCAAATGCTTTCAAGAGGGCTGAAACCTCACCTAGCCGCTGCTGAATTAGACGCTTAGCCCAGCATCTTTGCCTCCATTGTAATGCTGATTCAATAGAATCTTGCTGCTGCATGTTTCCTCCACAAATAAAATAAATAAGGTAAATAATACTCTCTGCATCAGATGATGGACAAAGCTTTGCGTTCTGTAGTGCATGTGCAGATGAAAACTGTAAATTTATTGCTGGACTGTCTCTGTCCTCCAAAATTGCTCGACCCCAGGAGACTAGGACATACAGGCAACTGCCTCTTGTGCTATCACTGACACAGATTATGTTTTCGGGACAGATATCACCATGCTGGATGTTGGCCATTTTTGCACTCCTCAAGGCTGCAAGACAGTCTCGACAACAACGGGTGGCTTCTTCAGCTGAAAATGGACCATGATAAGGTAAAATAGATGAAAGCGTTTCTCCTACTGGATAAGTTACAAGTATTGGGGTTCCACACCAAGGATGATCACAGCATCCCTTAGGGCTCTGCTTCTCACAAGGACCAGAATGCAGAATTTTGCCCGAGGCAATTTTTTCAGGCAAAGACTTGCTTGTGATACCCTGTTCTTTTAGGATATTCAGAACTTTAGTTTGTCTCTGGACTTGATACCACAAACTCATGTCCTCCCATGATGGTTCCAGACGAGATGTATGAGCACCAATGTGTAACATTAGTAATTCCGTGGGATGGGCCAAAGCCACAGCAGTGTAGGAGCAGCAGTTTCCTTCAAGCAGACATTCGTGTATTTGGAAACTTCTCTGTTCGAGGAGGTGGTCTTCAACAACCAATATTTCATCCTGGTTAAACTTCAAACGAGATCCTTGCTTGCTGGGGTTTGGGTTGTTGTGGTATTCAACAATTTCCCCATGATCATGTCTAGTAGCTTGACAAGGGATCAGTGCATTTTCATTCTCAATGAGGCGGCATTCAACTCTGCGCTTCTGAAGACGAAGGCTGTGATCAGCTGCAAGTGAGGCTATTGATTTTCTCGGCGGTCCAATCCATTGAGCAATACAATTAAAGGATGCCAAAAGCAGCTGTAGAGTCCCCATGTCTCGCCAATTTACATTTCCTAGCTTGTTCCATATTTGCTCCACAGGGGAAAAGCTAACTTCAGCGTGAAACTTTATCCATTCTGCCACGGATTGGTATGGATTGTTTAAGTCAACTTCAAGATTTCCAAGGTCACCACCCAATTTTACCACACTGGCAAATTTAGAGTCCAGTACTAAAACATAAACAGAGTAACTGCTAACAGCGTTACTTCTACTCAAACTACGAGCAAGAAGTATGTGGATAGCATAGAATAGTGCTTCACAGGCAACAGTAGAAGACAAACTAAATTCATCTCCCACTCCACTGTCATGTTTGAATAAAGAAAACACGACCACCTCATCCCAGCGAACATGTACATTCCCACTAATTTTTGACATCAGAGCTGCACCAGAGAGCTCCTTTAGCCTCCCCCTTGATATTGCTTTCTCAATGGAATAGAACTTGGATCCAGGATAGCGAGGAAAAGATACAAAAAAGGGCAAGGGCTTGCTTTTGTGCCAAAAGGTATGCCATAATCCATCTGCAACTGTATGTAGAAAATCTTCAAGAGCCAGAAGTTCATCCTCTATATGATCTTCAGAAATATGTGGCGAGCAAGGCATGCGGAATAGCTGTTGAAATAGCACCCCCTCCAATGCAAAATCGAGGGTACAGAGCTCATCAATTTGAAAGGGAGTGTTAGAATACTGTTCATGGTTGTAACTATCTGTATGTAAGTTTTCCAGGACCCAGTCTTCAACACATTGTGTAAATAAGTTGAGGTCAACAAGTTTTGCTGCATAATCTTTGAGCACTTTATAAACCCTTTTTGAAGTTGGAATGAACTTGCTTGAAGAGCTGGATTTAGTAGGTAAGGATGCAGCTGCAATCATCAAATCTTTGCAATCAGCACTTGCAATAATTGTCTAAAAACTCAATAACACTATCTGCGGAAAAAGGAAAACATCAGCAGTAGATGAGAGAGAACTTCGAGCACGCCTAAGATCACTATTAGTAGTAGATGAGAGAGACCAAAATTACATGACTTTATGCTGTTTTACTCAATTATCCTTTTTTAATAACATTTGTCATGCGCCAAGGGGCACCAAGGGTTTTAAATATATGTCATATTTGGAATAGGAAAAGTAACCTTGTATACAAAATAAATTAGTTTTGATCATGATTTCCCTTTAATCAACATCCTCTGTGCTATTCTACCTGTTATAAATTCCAATTATAAAAGTTCCTGAGATCAACTAACAATATCACAAAGACAAATTATTTCAGGTATCCGAGTAAATAAAATCAAAAGAAGAAGTGACGGGAGTTATAACCAGCATTATTTTCTGCTTATCCCAAAGCATAAATGGTAGTACAATGTGTATTGGAGAATTGATGTTGATTTCATGTCTGGTATCAAGAAAAAATAAAATGAATAGTTGAACCAAGAAAAACCTTCAACTATAAGGTATCAGTGGAACAAGGACAACTTTATCAGAAGGTTATCTGCATAAGTTCAGCAAAGGTAAAATTGGAGAAGAAAATACAGGAAAGATCAGCTTCCATTTATGAAGAACTTTTCCGTTCTACACAATTTTCTGGCAAAACAGGAAACACAATAAGAAAATCATAAATGGTAGTACAATGTGTATTGGCGAATTGATGTTGATTTCATGTCTGGTATCAAGAAAAAATACAATGAATAGTTGAACCAAGAAAAACCTTCAACTATAAGGTATCAGTGGAACAAGGACAACTTTATCAGAAGGTTATCTGCATAAGTTCAGCAAAGGTAAAATTGGAGAAGAAAATAAAGGAAAGATCAGCTTCCATTTATGAAGAACTTTTACGTTCTACACAGTTTTCTGGCAAAACAGGAAACGCAATAAGAAAATACTTGCTTGTAAACACTCAGATAACAAGTAGAAGCAGGTTTAGTCTAGAATCTATCCATTTTGTATGCAGAACTAATTGTCGACTGAGCACTTTCAACCATATTGGAAGCCATCTGGAGCAAAGACAGGCCACAAAATTGTGCAGTAGTAGGAATAACATAAACACTAGTGAACACAATGGTTAGAAAAGAACAGTCATAGACATAGTGTACTGACATGAAGGGGAAAAGGTAGTCTATTATCTACATTGCAAGACATAAGGAGTGCCTAAATAATATGCTTCTGATGTAATGTTGTTTCATTTCATTCTGTTACACCAACAATACAGGATTTATGACCTTCCAAAATACGTAAAATTGGTCTCCAAACAATTTAAGTAAGCAATCACTGGGTACCTTTTTGCTCATTGATTATCTTTTTCTTTCCCTAACAAAGAGACAAGAAGTCTTTTTCATTTGTTGCATCATGAGAACCAATCAGTGCCTTTAATTTGATCAGTTAAATTTTATGTTTGACCTTTTCTTTCTCAATCAGAGAATGGTGACCACTCTGCATTTACCAGACATGTAAAATCATGAAAAAGATCTAATAGTAGATTATTATTTTTTGTTTTTTTAACTTGTTAATAAAATCATTCAACAAGCACTTCTTAACTTTCCCCTTCTTTGTCAACCTTCAGACTATCCTTCCCCTGTTTTTTTCCCCCGAAAATGTTTACTTTTTAGTTTCTAAAATATATCCCCTGCTTGATCATGTCTAGACATTTAGTTGCTGTTTCCGACTTATTTGTCAACCTTCGGAATATCCTTTCCCCAATTTTTTTTCAAAATGTCTACTTTTTAGTTTCTAAAATATATTCCCCTGCTTGATCATATCTAAACAGTTAGTTGCTGTTTTTGCCTACTTTGGGAACCAATATTGGACTAAGTTCCACATATCCAAAAGTCACATGCATTACGCAAAAATTTTTCTTGATGAGTATAGGTTAGCTGTTAGGGTATCCTAGACATGGTGTCATCAATCTCAAGACTGATCCACAGAACGAGTATACTTTCATCAATCTGCAAAAACTAATTTGGAAATTCTTGACAAGCCTATCTGAGTAATTTCCAATTCAACTTGTTGATGACCAAGAAAAGTCTTTATCCTCCTTGAAGTCCTTAGCCTTGAGGCTTAAGCCATCTGTATCGTACTAGCAAATGTACTAGCAAACAACCCTTCTTTCCAATTCAGAAAATAACAATGAGATATAATTTTTTTTAACAATAGATTGTGGCAAAGTGAAACTGGTCTTGGTGGTATTAGTTTGCTGAAAACTGCTTGAAACAAGATCACAAAGCAAACTTGCCCAAGCTCATGACGACTTTCATTAGGAGCCAAAGCTGTACAGTTTGTGAAGTTATACATACCTCTATTAACTTGTTGAGCAGAAAATTAATTGAGCATGAAATTGATATGTTTGTCATAGTTTGATTGCAAAATAAGATATCAGTAACAAAAATGCGAGTAAATCATAAGATACAACATAAATAAAAGTTACCAACTTTAACCTCTTTCAAGAAAGTAACAGAACTGGTATGGTGGAGTCCAGTAAAAGAAAGATAGAGGAACACCCTTTTAATTTCAAAAATAAAACAGAGAACAAACAGTTTTATTGAAGAACTGAGAAAAGTCAACCACAAGCCCAGGAAGGGATTCAAGAAGGATTTCTGTACCAATATGACTTAATAATCAAATAATGGAGGTATATAAATATACTAACCTTTTAAAACCAGAGCTTATAATGACTTAGTGAAACTCAAGATGTTGCATATATAAATATTCTTTTATAATTTGGATTACAATGGCCACAAACCTTTTATTCTTGCACTGGCATCAGGTGATATAACTGTTCAACTTCAAAAGGTCCAACACTTACCGAGGTGTAATAAGTTTGAACAGTTTGAACTTGCTAGGATATTGGAGGCACTTGGAATGTTTGGGGATGCAGAGAACCTTACAAATTAAGTTGGACAAGTATGTCTCATTTCAAGACATTTAAGCTACTTTAAGTGATTGTATAAGTTTCTCACAATTCAGGGGTAATAATTTCGTAGCCTTAACCAAAATCAGCTTGCAAGAGTTTACTAATATAATTCCTTTATTGTACTGATGTTTCTGTGCTTCTCCCAGTTTCCTGCATATGCACTAATGAAGTAAAGCCAAGTATATACAAATATAGCAAAGGTAAAAGTGCCAAGTGAAGGCATTTTTCATTAACCAAGCATAGCAAACTGCAAGTACCATTTAAACAATAGAATCTACCAAAGAAATATATTCCGCTCATGAATGAATCCTACTTAACATAAAAAAAGAGCCAAAAAAGCAAACCAGATCTAGGCTTCCTGAAACTTCCATCCAGACTTCGTCCCGAGGATGAATCCCGATCATTTATCTGGTTTTCTGTGAGGATAAACAGAACAATATGTGAATATTCTAAAAATGCAGCTTACATGGGCTAATAAGAAACCAAAATCCAGGGAAAAGAATAACTGCACAACAATATTCTCAGAGTTTCAGCATTTAGAGACATAAGAAAGAATGCCAAATGAAAGTTTTAGTCCAATTGTGCCTACAGGCCCTTCAGGAAAAAAATTCATAAAGAAAGAAACAAAATCTCAAGCTGGAGCAGTACAGCTGATACAGAAGGATTGATTTATGACAGAAGAATCTATATTTTATAACTCTAAACGCCATGGAAAATTGCCATCGACTAAAGGAAGAGAGCTTCTATGTGGTACACCAACTCCCAATCAATCTCCAAAGGTTGGCCCTCCTTGTTGCAGGGAGTGATTGATAAAGGTTTAAACATATTGAGTACCTTAAATATTTTCCAAAACAACAAGCCTCTGCAAGTATCTTTTTTTTTCCGAATTTTAATTCAAAGATTTGTGGCAATAAGAACTCAAGACCCGAGACAAGACCCAAAAAAAAATTTGATACAACATAAAAAGTGGGAAAGGGCACGGTTGAAGAAATATTATGTTAATCAAATTGTTAGGGAGGCATCATTAAGTTTTTCCACTTCCCCTACTTGAGATTTATACAATCTCTATTCTCCAACGTGAGAAACTTTGACAACATGAACCACAACCGGCCTTTAATCTTAGATTGCCAATGAATAGAGTCAGTCTTTCATGTTACTGATTTAACTAGTTGCAATACTTGAATTCAAAATGAAGTTTAAAATCCCTGCTCTAGTCAAGTTTGGTTCCGTATAGTATCAAAGCTTTATTTAATCAAATGATATAAGCATGATGATCTACTTGTCTTTGCTTTATTTTTGCTCCCAGATATCAATTATCAAGAAAACTGGATAGAATAATCCTACTTACAATCATGAGTTAAAGAATTTGATCCCAACTGTTCGGCAAAAAACTTGGAGATGTAGAATCCTTCTTTGACTAATTAAAATGGACGAATAAACAATGAAAACTTCCACTTTTTTCCATAGACATATAACTAAAACATCTCGTGGGATACTAGGACTTGAATCTTTCTACTACTAAATGGTCACAGTACCCTTAGAAAACAAATTTATGAAACAGTTGACTCTCCAAAGTCTGATAGAAAAGGAGTTTTTATGCATAAAGGTAATAAAATTACTACCTTCATTACTAGGCCTTTAACCCAAAAATAGAGTTAAAATCCCTTCTCTACTTGACTTTGGTTCCATATCTAGTTAATGTCATAGCTTTATTTGATCAAATGACATAAGCATGATGATTTACTTTTTTTTTCTTTATTTTTTGCTCACGGACATAAGTTATTTGAGGGTACCGAATAAGAAAATCCCATTTATAAGCATGAGTTAAAAAATTCAATCCAAATTGTAGTTAAATAAAAAAAATACTTGGAGATGTAGAAACGTTTTTGAGTAAATAACTTGGAGGAAAACAAAAATTGCAACATCCACTTTCTTTCACAAGCATACTAGTAAAGAAATTTAGGGAATAATTGACACAACAAAGATTGATAGACGAGTTTTTATGCAGAAAATAACAAAACCATTTCCTTTAATACTAGGACTTTAACTCTCCTACAATCACTAGAAAACTTTCTAACTTATGTGCTTTGCTAAAAAGCAAAATCAGAAAAACTTTTGGTGTTATTGGCAATTGCTAACAAGTGAATAGAAGATTTGACTTGCCTTTTAGTGATTATAGATAAAACAAGGCACACTAATTATGAGGTTAACTACATCATTAGTAGTCAATGTCAGCAGCAATGACAAGGACAAGAATTCTCTTTTCCTTTTTCCTTTCACCACTACAATCTGGCTTTTGCCAGACAAAAGTACAACATAAGAAGCTTCAAGCACCACTTTCAAGCACATTTTATACTAGACCCAAAAGTTAGATACTCCAATTTCTCTTGAAATTCAGACCATTTTGAATCTCCCATCTTATCTTTCCTTCCTATGACAATTCTTTTTTTTTTCCTAAGAGAACTGTTCTAACAAAAACCATTGTTTGGATACAAACTAAAAGGAATTCTCGAATCCTAGTTAAACACAGATAGGTAAACAATGTCTGCAAGAACGAAAAAAGATCCCAATAAGCAATGTGTGTGAAAGTACGTGTCTTGATTTCTTGGAGCTTTTGAGGGGGCATTGGGGAACAAGAACTGACCTAGTCTCATCTCAAGGTCCTCTGCAATGGAGATTCCAAGCAAGAAAATGCAGCAAGCTATGACGAACTCAGCTTATAACGAAAAACAAAAAATCCTTTGTTGTAATACTTGTGTGACCATGTTCTTGAAACTATCGAAACTCAAATGCTAGGATTCCAAGTATTAGCACAATGTGGCAAATATCAAGCTCATGAGAGAGAGAAAAAAGAGAGATCTCAGAAAATGAGTCAAAATGCTATTCTTAGTTGTAGCAATTTGGTCGCAAAGAAAAAGACATGGGAGAAGAGGAGTGTTTGTGAAGGTGGAAACTGAGAGTGGAGGAGTGCATTGGGAAGAATGATGATGTTGATGGTGCTTCTGCCTCCCACGGGCTCTCTTTTCTTGGGCACTGCTGTCTGTTAATTTTTTATATGTGGTGATTGTTTGTTTGCTTTTGTTTGTCATGCTTGTTCGTTCTTTGTCTCTTATTTGTTCTTGAATTCAACATTAATTTAATCGGTTTGTTTGGATTGTGTTTTATTTGGAATATTTTTACGGTAGCACCTTTTGTGATGTGATGTATGTGAGATAAAAAGGTAATTGGGAAGATAAAAAGGTGTATTGAAAATTGTAATGATGATGTAAGCAGATAAAATTGGGGAAATAAAACACAATCTAAAATGTTTTGGGCTTCTTTGATGTCTTCCATTAGAATCCAGGGGGAAAAACATGTTAAGTAAAAGAGTAAATTCTATATAAATTCATAGTTTAAAAAAAATTATATTATTATGGATGGATGCATGATATATAAACAAAATTTTATTGATATGTTTAATACAAGAAGAATAATTGTAGAATAATTGAGATTATCTTCTATAGAAATCATGTTAATAAAGAGTCTTTCAGGTTAGTCAAATAAGTAGGTATTTATTGTTTTTTTTTCCACTGTGTTACTATTTGTGTTAATTTACATCCGTGTTAATTTACTACTTCAAATATATATGGAAATTAATTTTCTCATGTCATTACCTTATTGATATTTCAAAACACGATAGAACAGGAAAAGGTGAAATGGTAGCTGTGTGACATTATTCTTATAAAACTAATAAGATAAGCTACTATAATATCAAGTGAAATATTGGAGAAAGAAGTAGAGAAAGAAGTAGGGAAATAGAGAGTGGTATTCTTTTATTCCAATAAGATACAAAAGTCATCTCAAAAGGTGTCAATGTACCTCTATATATAGGTACTACAAGATTAAAGGTACATCAATTCTATTAAACACCCACTACTACAATAATATGAAGAAACCTATGAAACGGTTTCTCCACTACATGAATAGATTTATGGATTGTAACTTCTATACATAATATAGCCATAAAACATGAATTAATTCTCTTGGGAATACAAAGGGACATCCACATTTTAGTTGTTTCATAACACTCTCCCTTGGATGTCCATTACACAAAGAATATGCCTCGTTAAAACCTTACTAGAGAAAAATCCATCGGGACAAAAACCCTAGTGAAGGAAAAAGAGTACACTATTCTTGTGTATTAATTTCTCCTCCTGATGCAAACATCATTTGAGATCTTTTAATCGTCGCATTCCAATACTCTTCACCAATTTCTCAAATGTTGCAGTTGGCAATGCCTTGGTAAATAAATCCGCCAAATTATTATTTAATCGGATTTGTTGCACATCAATTTCACCATTCTTTTGCAAATCATGAGTAAAAAAGAATTTTGGTGAAATATGCTTTGTCCTATCTCCTTTAATATATCCCCCTTTCAATTGGGCCATACAAGCTGCATTATTTTCATATAATATAGTTGGAGGATTTTCTTTTTCGGAGGATAACCCACAACTCTTTCGAATATAGTGGGTCATTAATCTTAACCAAACACATTCTCGACTGGCTTCATGAATTGCTATTATTTCAGCATGATTCGATGAAGTGATGGCTAATGATTGTTTTGTAGATCGCCAAGAAATGGCTGTACCTCCATATGTAAATAGATAGCCAGTCTGAGATCTTGCTTTATGCGGGTCAGATAAATACCCAACATCAGCATAACCAACCAATTCAGATTTGGATTTATTTGAATAAAATAAACCAAGATCAATTGTTCCTTGGAGATAACGAAAAATATGTTTAATACCATTCCAATGTCGTCTTGTGGGTGAGGAACTAAATCTTACTAATAAATTCACTGCAAATGATATATCAGGTCTTGTACAATTAGCAAGATACATTAGTGCACCAATTGCACTGAAATATGGTACTTCAGGACCAAGTATCTCTTCATTTTCCTCTCGTGGTCTAAAAGGATCTTTATTAGGATCTAATGATCTGACGATCATTGGGGTACTTAATGTATGTGCTTTATCCATATAAAATCGTTTTAATACCTTTTGGGTATAAACAGTTTGGTGGACAAAAATTTCACCTTTCAAATGCTCAATTTCTAAACCAAGACAGAATTTTGTCTTTCCAAAATCTTTGATCTCAAATTCTTTCTTCAAATATTCAACACTATTTTGAATTTCTTCAGGAGTTCCAATCAAATTTAGATCATCAACATATACAGCAATTATCACAAAATTTGATCTATTTTTCTTGATAAAAACACATGGACATATTGGATCATTTGTATAACTTTCTTTAGTTAAAAATTCATTGAGGCGGTTATACCACATACGTCCAGATTGTTTAAACCCGTACAGAGACCTTTGTAATTTAATAGAATAAATATTTTTAGGATTTGATTTGCATGCTTCAGGCATTTTGAACCCTTCGGGGATTCTCATATAAATATCATTTTCAAGATTCCCATATAAATATGTAGTAACGACGTCCATTAGACGCATATCTAATTTTTCATGTACTGCAAAACACACGAGATATCTAAATGTGATAACATCCACTACAGGTGAATACGTTTCATCATAATCAAATCCAGGCCTTTGTGAAAATCATTGGGCTACAAGTCTTGTTTTATACCTCACAATTTCATTTTTCTCATTTCTTTTCCTCACAAATACCCATTTATATCCTACTGGCTTTACACCTTTAGGTGTTTGGACTACAGGTCCAAAAACTTTTCTTTTAGTTAGTGAGTCCAATTCAGATTGGATCGCATCTTTCCATTTTGGCCAATCATTTCTACCTCGACATTCATCAACCGATCTAGGCTCATGATCCTCGTCCTCTGTCATAATATCAAGTGCTACATTATATGCGAAAATACTATCAATAATTATTTCTTTTCGGTTCCAACTTTTTCTTGAAGTGACAAAATTTATTGAATTTTCTATAATTTCATTTTCTTCAAGAATTGGCTCTTTAGGAGCGACCTCTTCAGGAGGTTGAATTTTGTCACTAATTGTTTATTCATCTACTCCTCTTTTCTTTCGAGGATTTTTATCTTTGGAACCAAGAGGTCTCCCACGCTTCAAGCGTGCTTTAGACTCATTAGCACTTGTAATTTGTCCTTCAGGGATATCAATTTTAATCGGAGCATTTTCAGCAGGAATATGTGATTTAGTAACTCTTCTGGAGTCATTAAATGCATCCGGTAATGATTTGCAATTTTTTGCAAATGTATAATCCTTTGAAGTTCTAGTTCACATTCTTTAGTACGAGAATCAAGGAAATTCAACAATTTTTTCCAAGTAATTTCCTTTTTAGGTTGATTTTTATCTCCCCATAATGTCGGAAAATGTGATTCATCAAAATGGCAATCTGCAAATCTCGCAGTAAATAAATCACCTGTTAATGGTTCCATATATTTAATGATTGAAGGTGATTCATATCCGACATATATCCCCAATCTTCTTTGGAGGCCCAATTTACGACGTTGGAGCGGTGCAATTGGGACATACACCGCACAACCAAATATTCGTAAATGAGAAATATTGGGTTCATAACCAAAAGTTAATTGTAGGGGGAGAATAAATATGATAACTTGTCGACCTAATTCTCATAAGTGTTGCTGCATGTAAAATAGCATGTCCCTAAGCAAATGAAGGAAATTTAGACCTCATCAACAATGGTCTAGCAATTAATTGTAGCCGTTTAATAAGTGATTCGACTAGACCATTTTGTGTGTGAACATAAACTACAGGATGTTCAACAGTTATTCCAATGGACATACAATCATCGTCAAAAGCATGTGACGAATATTCACTAGTATTATCTAGACGAATTTTCTTTATTGGGTAATCTGGAAATTGTGCTCGCAATTTAATTATTTGAGCAAGAAATCTCGCAAACGCCAAATTACGAGTAGATAATAAACATACATGTGACCATCTAGTTGATGCATCAATTAGCACCATAAAATATCGAAATGGTCCACATGGTGGATCTACAGGCCCACATATATCACCATGAATTCGTTCTAGAAATGCAGGGGATTCAGTCTCAATTTTAACTTGTGATGGTCTAATAATTAATTTCCCTTGAGAACAAGCAACACAAGAGAATTCATTGGCTGTTAATACTTTTTTATTTTTCAATGAGTGGCCATGTGAATTCTCAATTATTCGTCTCATCATTATAGATCCGGGATGTCCGAGACGATCATGCGAAACCATAAAATCATTAGGAAGAGTAGACTTCTGGTCTACTAGGTGATGAATTTCAATTGCACTAATTTGTGCATAATATAACCCAGAAGAAAAAGAAGGTAATTTTTCTACTACGCATTTTTTTCCAGAAATGATACTTGTGATTAATAAAAATTCACCATTTGTCTCAGTCATTGTCTCGATATGATATCCATTTTCGCGGATATCTTTAAAACTCAATAAGTTTCTTCGAGACTTGGGAGAGAATAGTGCATTATTTACAATAATTTTAATCCCTTCAGGGAGAAATATATTGGCTCTTCCGGAGCCTTCAATCAATTTTGCACTACCACTAATGGTATTAACGTTTATTTCTCCCATTTTCAAACAAGAAAATTATTTTTTATTTTTCAATATGATGTGCGTAGTAGCACTATCAATGAGACAAATATTATCATCACCATTATTTAATCCCAAATATTTGACATCCATTTCTTCTTTAGGAAGAAAAATTTCAAACAAAAATAAATATTAATAAAGATGCGAAAATAAATATTCAATGGAAAGGAAATTACATGAAAGATATAAAGTATCATAAAAATATCTAAATAATCATGGGATATTTGTTGACATCTTCAGGATGCTCAAAACAATCAGCTACATCGAGGTGTGTCATATCAGCATCATCACCATCATCATAATCATTCTTTTGATCAATGAAATTTGTCTCAACACCTTTGTCTTTCTTTTTCAATGATGCTTGATAGAGTTCAACAAGATGTTCAGCCGTACGACAGGTACGGGACCAATGACCTTCCATACCACATCAGTAGCATTTTTCTTCATAAACT